AACCTTAGGGTCACTCAGTTCCTTGTCGACCTTTTCTCGTAGGTAGTCGGAGTTGAGACCATCGTAGAGACGACGTTTGAGGATGTACTCGTACGTACGAATACCCATGAAGTGAAGTTCGGTGACAATAGACTCGAGCCTCTTGACATACCTAGCGAGAGACTCAGAGTTACCTTGACGACAAGTAACGAACTTGACTTCAGCTTTCGCAATAGCATCATCATTGTCATAGAGCTTGCGAATAGTAGAGCATAGCCGATCGAGGTGTTTCTCATAGTCGACATAACATCTAGTAGGCGGTTCAGTACCCTTGATAAGTTTGGCCCAGATAGACTTCTCCATATTCTGCTTGGCCCATAGATATTTAGTAACAGCATCATGGCCTTCTAGAGCAGACAAAATTTCACGGACGAAGGTAGAACCGCTTCTATCATCGTCCTCACCCAAGAACTTAGAGGTCGACGACGACTTAGTCGCAATGTTAGAGGCAACATCATAGTCCTTCATGGAGATCTTCGATTTGCACGGCTTAGACTTACAACCTGGGCACCTAGATCGATAGGAAGGTACCGCACGCTCAGCTGGGACATAGAACCGACCATTAGTAACGCCATTCCGATAACAAAGTCCATAAAGAGATCGAGAAGAGTTGCTCGATTTCTTAGAGGCAGGATGGCTTCCTTCGCTGTCGGACGAAGACAACAATGATGAGCGCCTAGAGTGCGAAGAAGATCTTGAAGTACTAGAACCACTCGAGCTAGGAGAAGAGGGAGGTGACTTTGACAGATGTCGCCTATGATGATGTCGAGGACGGTCAGCACGTCTCCGAGAAAGATTAGAACTCCTACCGGTAGAGTTGTGATCTTGTGGACTATGCTTACGTAGATGGCGAGAAGATCGCCTATCAGAGGCACTGTGCCTAGATGACTGTCCTACAACAGGACTAGGTTCTTGACGTCGGTGGTGATGTTCACGTCTAGATGACTTGGTACACCTCGAAGATCGATCGGCCAGAACCATTAGAGCGATGTGGATCTTGAGGCTCATAACCCGAGTGCT